AAAAAAAAAATGAAAAAAAAAAAATTTACAGTTACTTTTATTCTGGCCATAGGAATGCATTAACACTCAAACATGCCTAAATGCTAGTGTTGACGCGTTTAAACATTTAGGCGTGTCGAGCATTCCTGACAGTGCCTGTAATTGTTTTTTTTCTTCAGCCTATAAATGCTCCTCTTCTAATAGGTCTGTAAATGCCTTTGTGTGTATGGACACATAAGTTAACAGAGAGGTGCTTTTATAGGCTGAAAAAAACCTAGACGCCTGTAAGGTCTCATGCACACAGGACGTTTTGCAAACTCTCCTAGAAGTCTTTCCCCCTGGCAGCGGCATTTTGGTAGAAAAAAAGCCTGAAGCTTGTAAAAATGTCTAAAGCTTTTACACGCTTTTAGGAGCATTTACAGGTGTTAAAAGCTTGGAAGTTAATTCAGTTAATTGGCCAGAATAATAATTTATTCTAGATATTAAAATCAATAAACCCTCAAGTGCTAAACATGCCTAGCGTTTTTAGCAGCTTTAAATGTTTTTTCTGCCAAAAATGCTGCTCCTGGGCGCACTGGCAATGGTTTTTTTTTATTACTGCCTCTGAAAGCTCCTGCCCCTAAACCCTGCTAAAAGCCTATGTGTGCATGGACATATACAGTGGATGTAAAAACTCTACACACCCCTGTTAAAATGTCAGGTTTCTGTGATGTAAAAAAAAGAGACAAAGATAAACCATTTCAGAACTTTTTAATGTAACCTATAAACTATACAAACTGATATCTTTTAGGAGGGGAGGAGTAAACATAAAAAAACTAAAATAATGTGGTTGCATAAGTATGCACACCCTCTTATAACTGGGGATGTAGCTGTGTTCAGAATTAAGCAATCGCATTCAAAATCATGTTAAATAGGAGTCCCTACACACCTGCGATTACTTAAAGTGCCTCTGATTAACCCAAAATAAATTTCAGCTGTTCTAGTAGGTCTTTTCTGATATTTTCTTAGTCGTATCCTACAGCAAAAACCATGGTCTACAGAGAGCTTCCAAAGCATCAGAGGGATCTCATTGTTAAAAGGTATCAGTCAGAAGAAGGGTACAAAAGAATTTCCAAGGCATTAGATATACCATGGAATGCAGTGAAGACCGTTATCGAGTGGAGAAAATATGATGCAACAGTGACATTACCAAGAATTGGACGTCCCTCCAAAAGTGATGAAAAGACGAGAAGAAAAAAGTGGTCAGGGAGGCTGCCAAGAGGCCTACAGCAACGTTAGAGGAGCTGCAGGAATATCTGGCAAGTACTGGCTGTGTAGTACATGTGACAACTATCTCCCGTATTCTTCATATGTCTGGGCTATGGGATAGAGTGTCAAGACGGAAGCCTTTTCTTACAAAGGAAAACATGCAAGCCCAGGTAAATTTTGCAAAAACCCATCTGAAGTCTCCCAAAACCATGTGGGAAAATGTATTCTGCTCTGAAGAAACCAAGGTTGAACTTTCTGGCCATAATTCCAAAAGATATGTTTGCGCCCAAAACAACACATCACCAACAGAACACCATACCCCCACAGTGAATCATGGTGGTGGCAGCATCATGCTTTGGGGCTGTTTTTCTTCAGCTGGAACTGGGGCCTTAGTCAAGGTAGAGGGAATTATGAACAGTTCCAAATACCAGTCAATATTGGCACAAAACCTTCAGGCTTCTGCTAGAAAGCTGAACATGAAGAGGAATTTCATCTTTTAGCATGACGACACAAAGCATACATCAAATCAAAGGAATGGCTTCACCAGAACAAGATTAAAGTTTTGGAATGGCCCAGCCAGAGCCCAGACCTAAATCCAATTGAAAATCTATGGGGTGATCTAAAGAGGGCTGTGAACAGGAGATGCCCTCACAATCTGACATATTTGGAGTGTTTTTGCAAGGAAGAGTGGGCAAATATTGGCAAGTCAAGATGTGCCATGCTGATACTCATACCCAAAAAGACTGAGTGCTGGAATAAAATCAAAAGGTGCTTCAAGAAAGTATTAGTTTATGGACTTGTGCAACCATATTATTTTAGTTTTTTATTTTTACTTCCCTCCTCCTAAAAGATTTCAGTTTGTTGTTCAACTGAGTTGTACAGTTTATAGGTTACATCAAAGGTGGAAAAAGTTCCGAAATGATTTATCTTTGTGTCCTTTTGTTACATCACCGAAACCTGACATTTTAACAGGGGTGTGTAGACTTTTTATATCCACTGTAATCTAATGTGCATGGGCAGATAGGCTAACATGCTGGGGAGTTTAGAGGCAGTAAAAAAATGCTGACACTCCTAGAAGCAGCTGCAAAAACGTCCAGTATGCATGAGGCTTAAAGCGCCAGTGGACATAAGTCCTTAATCACTTCCCTTTGTCTGTCTTGTAGTGCCTATGGGTTCTTTCTGTTTTTAACAGTATCTGCTGCACTTAACTTTTCAGTCATTCATGTCATTAGTGTGCTTTTGACACCATCTCTGTAATTGATATGTTTCCTATACTTATTTGGGTTGGTTTTTTAAATGGCCCAAAACCTATATTACAGGGTGATTTAGGCCAGTTACAGTTTAATTATGCATGGGTTGTTGCAGTTTTAGGATGCTGTTGAAACAGATAATTGTGGAAACATGAGTCCTATAGTAGTATTCAGATTATCAAGGACATGGTTCATTTGAAATTAAGCAATTTCACAGAAGGAAACTACCAAATGTTATTGGACTGCTGCTTTTTGCTTAAAAAAAATGCAGCTAACTTCCTGCTCTAGAATAGAAAAGTAAATCGTAGTTAAAGAACTTTCACATTATTTAACATTTTCATGTAGCTTTAATTGTCACTAAAGTGTATGTAAACCCGAAAGAAAAAAAATTAACACTGGCTAGGTTTCTCACAATAGTCAGCTTTTATCATTTATTTTGGCTTTTTCAGTCATTTCCATCTAAATTTGCTAGTGCATTTAACATTACTCTATCTACAGGTTGACAGTGTTGCTTTCCAGGGGTGGCCCCATACCGCCTACATTGAATGGGGTCACCCCAAGACTGGAAGTTTGTTGCTGGCCAGATCACTAGCTGAAAATTAAAGGGGGGGAGGAAAACCAGTTTTGTAGATCTGATTGACGTCATATGATGTCCTCTCAGATCGTGCCTCGCATGGGGCCATGCTGCAGCGCGATATGTCACCGGTTGTGTCCATCAGACACAACCAGTGACTGATCAGTGTACCAGCCCACTTCTGGTACCATGTGACTGTTGTGAGCAATCACAGCAGGTCACATGACAATTGTAAACAATGAATGGCTTCCTTTTATGCCACCCATTGTGTACAATTGTGTTACTGTGATTTGTCACAGTGATCACATCGTACAGACTTTGCCAACCACAGCCTATCTGTGCCATGTGATATAGCAACATTATATTGCTCTGGTCACAGTAATAAAAAGAAACTTAAATCGAAGAAAACAAGTACAAATTTTATTTTCGTACCATCACCAATCAGTGTCCCTGATCACCGCCATGCCAGTTATATGATGAGGCTGTACTGTACTAGTGACAGTATGTGAGGAAAATGTTTAACTTTTTTTTTTTTTGCCTTTTAATTTTCCAAAAAATTATGACAAATTACAACTTCAGAAAAAACTCACCATGCCTCTTACTAAATACCTTGGACTGGCTACTATCCAGAAAGGGGTAGTTTGAGGATTATCTGTACTTTCCAGACATTTCAGGGCCTCAAGAAAGTAGACACTGTCAGTACATCAGGATTGATTTTCAGATATAAACCATAGTTTATGGACTCTCTAACTTTACTACAGACTTAGTAATATGCACTGATTTGGGTTATTTTCACCAAAGAAATATAGTAGAATACATTTTGCCCTAAACTTATGAAGAACAATTATTTGCAAAATATAACAAAGAAAACCGTGTTTTTTTTTTTTTCTCAAAATTTTCAGCCTGTTTTTTTCATTTATATAGCAAACATTAACCTCAGTGGTGCTTAAATATCACCAAAAGAAAGTAGGGATGCACTGAAATTTCAGTGACCGAAAAGTTTTGGCTGAAAACACCCCTATTATTATTATTATTATAATACAGTATTTATAAAGCGCCAACAGTTCGCTCAGCGCTGTACATTACAAAGGGAGACAGAACATGCAACAATACGAAAACAATACAATGTGATACACGAGGGGTTCGAGGGCCCTGCTCTTTCGAGCTTACCAGCCGTTGGCTGATATAAAAATAAGCACCGCTAATAACCCCTCCCCTCGCCCCTGCCTGCCACTCGGTGGTTTTCAGCCTTACCTGAGAAATCACCGACCAACCCCGGCGCTGGCTATAGAGATAAGTGAAGGAAAGATAGCCTCAACTCATCTCCATGCCCTTGGAGGACCGGAGCGACATCACTTCCGGTTCTGGCACCTTATAAACGAGCGTATGCCATTTTAAAGCATGACATGTTGGGTATCTATTTACTGGGCGTAACATCATGTTTCATATTTTACACAAAAAATTGGGGTATATGTTTGTGGGTTTTTTTTTTTTTTTTTTTATCATTAGTGTATTTTTTCCCCCAAAAAAAATTGTTTGAAAACCATATTAATTTTTAAAAACTGTCCATTTCAGTTTCGGTTTTAGGCCAAGTGCATCCTGTTTCGGGACCAGAATTTTAATTTCGGTGTACCACTAAAAGAAAGCTCTAGTTGTGTGAACAAAATTATACAAATTTAGTTTGGGTACAGTGTTGAATGACCGCGTAATTGTCAATCAAAGTACAACAAGCCCAGTATTGAAGTGGTTAATGCAGCCCACCACATTTTAGGAATTGGCAAGCTACAGTATAGTACACTTGAAAAGCGTTTTTTTTTTTTTTTTTTTTTTTTTCTTTTTTGGTTGAGTATGAAAAAATACCATATTGTAATGTATACATGCTTGTTGAAGGTATATAAAAATGTACAGTGAATGCATACATATTGCTGATAGTGTTCTTTGTATTATGTGCAGGTTTTGTCCGGTTAGCAGTCACCATGGTCGCCCTGTCGCTGAAAATCTGTGTCCGGCAGTGCAATGTGGTAAAGACGATGCAGTTTGAACCATCGACTGCAGTCTATGATGCCTGCCGAATCATACGGGAGAGGGTCCCTGAGGCTCAGACAGGTCAAGGTACGTACTTCTTGCATGATTTTCTTTTTATCCTTCAACAGCAAACCATTATTTACAGCTGGTTGTTTCTTTAGACCAGACAGAATGCATTCATTATGCCTAGCATATGAATCCCATTTTACACCTATAACAACCACCAAAATAAAACGAGCTTGTAAACAAAGTCTCTGTTTTGCCAGATTATGTGAGAAATTGTTGTGGGCTGAATATAAAAGCTTAGTCAAGTCAGATATGTGTCTCTAGATGGAATTAGATGACCCAGATTAGAACATTTCTGCTATGGGTGGATTGTGTTGTCTGCAGTTAGTCATGGGCTTCATATGGCATTCCTCCATGCTGAAGTTATATAAACCTATGTACAGCCAATGGCACAGATGTGTATCTCTGGTAATTAAGGGTCACAATTGTTTGTTTTGCTCTGAATTTAAGTAGAGTAGATTTTAAATGCATATCATGGCTCTGTCAGAATAAGGCTCCATGCACACTGGTCTTCAAAAAAAAAAAAAAAAAGCCAGTTCCCTTGCCAGAAAAAAACGCTCATATATAGTGTTTTTGTATGGTCGTTTAGGTGCATTTAGCGTTTTTTTTGGGCCTAAAACTACTTTCCAAAATGCAAATCAGAAGGGTTTTTTTATCTTCTAAATGCTGAGCCTAAAATATGCCTCTAAACATCCTAATGTTCAAGAACACACAGGATAACATTGAGATGCTTCTACAGGCAAAACACAAAACTCAGTGGAAGCAGCATTTTTTTTTTTCTAAGCCCGTTGCCAAGGTCCCTAAATGTGGCTCTTAAAAACATTTGGCTGCCATTGGTAAACTCATCCTTTTGAAAGATTGTTGCTTGACTGTTAATATTTTTCCCAAGATACTTTGAGTCACTGACCAAGAACAAATATGAAGGTCACTAACCTTGTCCAAGTTCTGAATTTCCCCAGCCTGTATGCTTGTTCTGGGTCAGTAAGAAAGTACTGAGATCAGAGAATGTGGGAAACTGTCATTTTCAGTATATCGGTAGCAGTGGAAACCCTTAGATTTCCATCCATGCAATTTTCCTTTAAGATCTCTTATGTCCTAGTGCTGTTACTGTGTGTTTGTGGCTTATTCATATGGTTCCATTGTTGATAGTGTGTGTTTTGTACAATAGACGTTCTTGTTCAAAGGAACAGTACTGTTTTGTGCTGTATTCAGCAGTTGGGCACAGACCCCAGAGTCTACATTTGACTTGACCTCTTTCTTTTGCCCACAGCACTGGACTTTGGCCTGTTCTTATCAGATGAAGACCCAAGGAAAGGAATCTGGCTGGAGGCTGGCAGGACCCTGGATTACTATATGCTGAGGAATGGGGTATAATCAAATTATTCATGCATTACGTGTACATTGCTTATTTACACACTCCACAATATCAATTGATATAGATATATATATATATATATATATATATATATATATATATATATATATATATATAGTGCTCAGCATAAATAAGACAGATACAGATTTGTCAGAAAACCTTTACTTTCTGTTCAGTATCAACAATTTCTATGGGATGCTATACTACAAATACTCTCACAAATGTGAGCCATTTATTGCAAACAAGATTTGTTAATTTACACACACACAAAAGTATTTTTCTTAAATTTATTCAAGACCATGTTTCAAAAATGAATACACCCCAATTAAAGTCTTAGTAGCAAAGCTTAATTTTAGACCACAAAATCCTAATTAACAATAATTCAACTACAGGTGAGTCTAATTATTCATTAAACAGGTGTCCAGCAGACAGTTGATTTATAAAAGGGCAACCCCTTCCCCTTTCATGCTGTCAGCAATGGCACCACACGGAAGAGAAATGTCACAAGGCGTGAAAAAGAAAATAATTTCTTTACACAAGAAAGGTGAAGACTACAAGAGGATCTGCAAACCTTTACTTATCAGTCAGAATACTGTAGGAAAAATGATACAAAAATTTTAAAAAGCTGGAACTGCAACCATCTCAGAGACATCCAGGCTGTCCACGGAAGTTAACATCTTGACAGGAGTGTCTTCTGATGAGAAGGGTTAAAGAAAATCTCCATGCAAATTCACTGCAGTTAGCTAAAGAAGTAAGCCAAACTGGGGTGATTGTTTCCCGTGACACAATATGGCATATGTAGCAAGCGTACACACAGATATGGACACGGTTCAACCATTTTGCTCCAACCCTCCATCTTGTAGATCCTTCTCCCCTTCTTTGATCATCCCCCCCCCTCCCTCTCTGTTCATCCACAGTGACATGTGGCCTGTGTGTTAGCCGAGATCATAGGCAGCCAAAGCACAGCAGGTAGCTCCGAGCTATAAAAACCCCCCAGGGAGCTGGGTGCCTGGCTGTCTAACTGTGCAATCTCGCATATCGTAAAAGTATAACCCAAGCCTTTCCCTGAGTTCAAAGACATTCCAGAGGAGTAATAAACTAGATACCACATTCAAAATCCATTTTCCCCCTATGTCTCATATCTTGGAATATGAGAGACTTGCATAAAAAACAGGCATATTTTCAGATTGGTCACGATAAGACAAATCGTTTGATATGTCACACTCCGTGGCTGGCATATATAGAAAAGCAGAAAAGTATATCTCTTGAACCATTCAAGTATATATTTCATGTCTCATATCCAACCATTCCGCAGATGCGTCTGCATATTAATCTACCCGTGGGTGGGATGTTAAATGTACCTCGGAAAAGTTTTGGACCAAAATATAAACCAGGAGAGATTCTGGCTGTAACTTAGGTCTCCACCTACACTTCCCTCCCCAAATAAGGCAATTGGTTCTTTGTTGTAAGGAGACACCCTGCTGAGATTGTAGAAAAAGGCTGTTAAGCTTAGAGTTGGGGGTGAGAGAACGCAGTCTCTCCTACGTTTAACATCGAAACTAGCAATAGAGACAAGAAATCCTTTTTGGCTCATGAGACTTGAAGCTGCTTAACCCAAGGCTTTTTGGCAAGTACTTATCTACCTAAACGTCTTTCTGTTATCTTTTTGCTGTGTTATTGCTCTCTGTATATTTATATATATTAGTTACATCTTTTTTCTGTAAATATTTTTATTGCACCCTTTTGACCTTTTAGTAATCTTTCTTTCTGAAAGTGTTGAACTGTTTCTAAAGCTCCTTAATGCAACTTACGAATTCCTTCCACTGAAGAGCGCTACTATGTGTGTTTAACCCTCTGTATAACCTGTCTGCGGTGAAAGTGGTATACAGACGATTATCCAATCATCCTAGTGTATTGCTGATATTGCCGAGTTTTCTCTTTCTTTTTACAAAAAGGAGGTGGTGGCAGTGTGAAGTTAATTGCGTAAATAACCTGACCCAGTAACAATCGCGCCCAGGCTGCCGGTACATCGATTTGTGGTCCAGTGAGCTGAAAAATCGTTGTGCAGGGTGCAGCTGGGCGGGGAATTGTTGCACACGTGGCATCGTGGTTTTACATTGGCTAGCCCTTCAGTCACGAGTTTGGTGAGAAAGGCAGGGGTCTGATGCCGTGATTGTCACAGCATACACTGCAGAGGAATAGCATGCATAGGTGTCGTCCACGAAAGAAGCCTCTCCTAAAGCCCATGCACAGAAAAGCTCACTGAGAATTTTCTGGGACCCATGCTGAAAAAGACTACTGGGACTTTGTACTCTGGAGTGATGAGATCAAGATTTTTGGAACTGATGGCTTCAAAACTGCATGGCATCGCAAAGGTGAGGCGTACAAAGAAAAATGTATGATGCCTGCATGAAACATGGTGGTGACAGTGTCTTTCTGTGGGGCTGCGTGAGTTCTGCTGGTGTCGGGGAGTTGCGTTTCATTAGTGGTATCATGAATTCACAGACGCACAGCTCTATATTGAAAGAGAAGATGCTACCATCACTCCGTGCTCTTTGCGCACTTTTCCAACATGACAATGATCCAAAACACACATCTAAGGCCACTGTTGCATTTCTGAAGAACAGGGTGAAAGTGATTCAGTGGCCAAGTATTTCTCCAGAATTCCCCATAGGTGTTCGATTGGGTTCAGATCAGAAGAGAAAAGTTGATTATCACTCTCCATCTAGCATCCAGGCTCTTAAAGAGGTCGTTCTTGAAGAATGAAAAAAGATGTTGCAACATGTTGCCAACTTGTTGATTCCATGCCTAGAAGAATTGTGCTGTCCTTACAAAAAATGGAGGTTATACAAAATACTAGATGTAGTAGTTTTGTCAAAAGTTTGGAAATTGTGTATGTGTATATAGATATCTCACACAATAAATAGTGTGTATATATCTATATTTATTGATGTGGTCATGCCAACTTAAAAATAGTAGAGGCTAAAGGCGGTTCTTTCACTGTTACTAGCCTGAGATCCCTTTCTTACCCGATGTACGCACTGCTCCAAGATGTCCTGTGCAGAGACTGGGAAATACCTAATAAAAACTATTCACATCTCCTGAATGTTTTTCTGGCTAATATCAATTCGAGGAGGCTTTTATTAAGTAGTGGGCTGTGCTCACAATTGGTTCAGCAGTGTCACAGTTTAATAAAGCACTGACCATTCCTGTAGAGGATGCACCACTGTGTAAGGGTCCCATAGAGAAGTGTTTGGAAACTCTTTCAAAAACCTTTACTCTGGCTTAGCTATGATCCTAAGCCAGCCGTAGATGGACGAATCTTGTCTAGTTCAGCAGGACCGTCCAAGAGTCAATCCATCTATGGAAAGCCTGTAAGATTTTTTACATGCGATCACTGCCAGCGGCAGTTATACATAATAGCATCATAACGGCCAGCAGAACACAGTAGCACTGCGGAAGGGATTCCCCCCATCAACACTGACTGCGTTGATGGAGGAATCAAGCAGTTGACATTCCTGCAACCAGTGGTTGCAGGCAAGAAAATTGCTTCATCTATGGCTTGACTTTAGCCTGTCAAACATTAGTTGAATAGAATAAATTCATAAAAAGGGAACCAGTTTCTATTTATGCTGATCCCCTGTCTGTGAAGTGCTTAGTGCTCATGTCAGCTGCCCTACACTAATGTATAGACAGTTTAGCAGATATTTGTGTTTTGGCAGACATGTAAAAAGCATATTCTGTGCATTGCCCTTGGAGGGTCAAAGTCTCTTCAGAGCTGCAGTGGACACCCTAACAAAGGATGAGGGTAAGTGCACTGAAAAACCATAGCAAAGGCAACTTCTGTCTGCTTCCAGAATTCTAAAGAGTTAGACTGAGTGCTTCTTAGCCGTTCAGTAGAAGTCTTATGTTTTATATTAAGAAACAATACCAGTTCCATGCTAAATGAATATATAAATCCCTAATGAACCAAATGATAACTGTGTGAAACACCAACAAAAATAGCTGCTGTACCTAATAACCCCCCAAAAATGTGCAATAAATTACGTCTATAATACCTCATATACTATAGTGCAGTGATATATACCTCACACAAAAAAAAAAAGTTTAAAGTGATGCTAGTACCATAGTGTCGATGAAAACATAAGTAAAGATCAAATTACAATGGTGTCCTGTGCTTGCATACAAAAATTAATCCAGTAGTGATACAAAATGTTCAATAAACACAACGAACAGAGACAAAAGTGTCTACTTAAATATTTCATAGCTCTCTTATGTGAACAAATTATATGCATCTTGCAACAAAAAAACTTTCCACCCTGTGAAAAGCAATCTCCTGTGCCCCACCCCTAAGCAATCCACAGTGATTCCTTTCTCCACAAACAGACTAGAATGCTTTTCTTTTCTTAAGAAAAGGCGCTGAAGCTGTCTCACAAAAAATCCTCCTCTGTCAGCATGGATGGCTGCTTGGGACTCCAGATTTCAGTGTCTCCCTCCCCAGTAGAGTGAATGCAGGCTCAAGCTGTCTCTCAAAGAATCCTCTACCTACCTAGATGGAGGAGGATGATTCACCCACAGAAAGAAAATTCTCACTTAGAGTAATTTCTTAAAATTGTGTTAATCTGATTGGCTGAGCTACAGAGGCTGACTGATGTCACGATTTCTGTCTTTGCCGATCAGAAGATTCCATATGGAAAGTTTCTGCTTAAACACTCTTCTGCATACGGCTGCAACAGTTTTACAGTGCACACCGTGGCCACATCATTGAGATGGAAATAGTTGATAGGCCAAGGTGGTCCAAACAAACAAACATGATAGGAAAGCTTGAATACTTGAAATCTACTTTAATTTTCACTCCTCACCTCGTCTGAGGCCAAGACGAGTTTCTTTTGTTACTTCCAGCTTTGGATGCTCACCCTTTTGACGAGCGTGGGCCACTTAACTGATTTGGAAATCGGTCGCAGGCCACAATGAAATGAAATGGGTCAGAAGT